GCCTGTACTCCAGGCCATACTGGCCTAGGGTGACTGCCCACCTGGCTATTCTTCCTGTCAGGTCTCCTTGTTGCAGTAAGGACTTCAAGGGGTGCTTTGTTAGCACCATAATTTTATGGGCCTGGAAGTAATGGTTCAACTTCTTTGAAGCCATTACTAAAGATAGTGCCAATTTCTCTAAGGGTAGATACCTTGTTTCTACATCGGCTAGGGTTTTGCTTACATAGTAAACAACCCTTTGCTCCCATTTTTCTTCTCGGATTAGTACTGCACTTATCGCATGTTCTGAAATGGCTAAGTACAGGAACAGCTCCTCTCCAGGTTCTGGATTTGAAAGAACTGGAGCTGTGCTCAAGTACTTCTTCAGGTCGGCCAAAGCGGCTTTGCATTCTTCTGTCCACAGGAAGTCTGTGGCTTTCTTCACCAAGTTGAAGAAAGGTTTGCACTTATCTGAGCTACTGCTGATGAATCTGTTCAGGGCTGCGGCCCTTCCAGTTAGCATCTACACCTGTTTTGATGACGTCAGGCTCTTCAACTCTAGGATGGCCTTGATTTGATCTGGGTTGGCCTCGATGCGCCTTCTAGTCACCAGGTATCCTAAAAACTTACCAGATCCAACTGCAAATGCACACTTTGATGCATTGAGTCAGAGCCGATATGTTTTAAGGATTTCAAAGACTGCTTTTAGATCGGCGAGATGACCTTTAGGCTCCTTGGTCTTAATGACCATGTCGTCGATGTAGACTTCTACTATTCGGCCGATCAGGTGTTTGAACATTTTGGTTACCAGCCTTTGGTAAGTTGCTCCTGTGTTTTTCAACCCGAAAGGCATTACTCTGTAACAGTACAGGCCTTTTGGGTTGATGAACGAGGTCTTCTCTTCGTCTGGGGGGTACATGGCTATCTGGTGATACCCCCTATAGGCGTCTAGGAAGCTCATTCTTCCATACCCTGAAGTGGCATCTACTAGCTGGTCAATCTTGGGTAGAGAAAAGCTGTCTTTGGGACAGGCTTTGTTGAGGCTGGTGAAGTCTACGCAGACCCTCCATTTACCGTTCTTCTTCTTTACCGCCACTGTATTGGATAGCGATGTCGGGTAGTGTACTTCTCTAATGGCCCTGGCCTCCAAAAGTCTGTCTACTTCTTTCTCTACTGCTTCGACGTGCATCAACGTCGGTCTTCTGGCTCGTTGAATTACAGGTTTGGCCGACCTGTCAACATTCAGTTTGTGGCAAGTGACCTCAGGATCGATGCCAGGCATTTCATAAGGTGTCCAAGCGAACACCTCAATATTTGTTTTCAAAAAAGCTTCAAATTCTTTTTCTTCTTCTTCGGCTAAGCCCGAGCCGAGAAGAAAAAAGCGTTCTTCATCCCCATCCTGGACGAGGATTTTCTTCAGTGCCTCTTCGCTCTTCTCAGCTGGCTCCTTGCCGACATCTTCTAGGACTTCCACGTCCCCATCTTTAATTTCTGTCTTCTCTGGCTCTCGTATGCTGCAAGTAGATTTCATTGCTGCCATGGAGCAATTCTTCACCTGCAGCTGATCGCCTCTGACTTCCTCTATCCCTTGCTCTGTTGGGAATCGCAATAGTTGATGCAATGTTGAGGGAACTACCCCCATTGTATGCAACCATGGCCTTCCCAAGATGATGTTGTACAGGGAGGGTGTGTCGATGATGGTGAATTCTGTCTTGATCTCCCTGGTGCCAACCTGCACCTCCAAGCTTACTGTTCCCAGGGGCCAATTCCCAGTGGCCATGCCGGCGTTCCATTGAACCTAACCATTGGGCCATTGGATTGTTCCATATCATCTGGGTGAAGGTCGAGCTCCTTGTAACATCGGACGTACATGATGTCACAAGGAGCTCGACCTTCACCCAGATGATACTTGGAGGGATACTATCAAGGCATCATTATGCGGATGTTGGACCATCTCTAGGTCAGCTTCAGTAAAGGTTATCATTGGTCCCTGGCACTCTTCTGCCCGATGTCTTTTCTCCCCGACTTGGTAGACATGTTGTAGGTGTTTTACCTTCTGGGTTTCTCCTCGGATTTCGTTGACCTTCGAGTGGATTACGTTGATTACCTGAGGTCCTCCTGCCTGCGGCTGCTGTGCTGGGGGAGGTGGGCTGCTGGTGCCTGAGGCAATCTTGCCCGTTCTTCCCTTGTCCTGGTCTCATCGACAAGGTCTCTTAGATGTCCTTGTCTCACCAGGTCTTCCAAATGTGTTTTCAGGGCTCTACAACCTTGAGTTATATGCCCATCTGCATTATGGTAGGCACAATGTCTGCTAACGTTTCTTCCCATGAACTCTCCTGGAGTCCTCTCTGGCGTTCTAAAATAGGGTTGGTTCCGAATTTGATCCAGGACTTTGTAGATTGGGATTCGGAACACGGTTGTTACTGCCTGTGTGGCCCTCAGTTCTGCTTCTTGTTTGCTCGATCCATTGTTACCTCGGCCTCGCTTTGGCAAGCCGTTTCCTTTCTCTTGTTTTATTTTCTTTGCCCCCGACGTGTCTTCTTCGGCTCTGGCATGCTTCTCAATTCTTGCCATGAGCTCTTCCATACTTTTTGGCAATGTCTTTGCCAAAGACTTTCGTAGTGGACAGCTGTCTTTCAGGCCGTTCTTGAAAGACACGACCGCCACCTCTTGATTACATTCGGGTATTCGATTGAACAACTCATAGTATCTTTTTGCATAGGCCCTAAGGCCTTCATCCTTGCTGATCTTCAGAGCCATCAATGCGTCCATCCTTAATGGCTGCAGCTTGTTTGTCACGAACTTGGCCACAAATATCTCGGCCAGGCCTTCCCAAGTCTTCACGCTTCCCTTCGGTAGTTTGTGGAACCAATCTGATGCAATCTCCCCGAAGGATGAGGGGAACACTTTTCAGAGCAACGACTCGTTCCCACTATACAATGCCATCGAGTTCAAATATAGTCCAACGTGGAAGTTGGGGTCTGACTTACCATCGTATATTTGAAACCTCGGCACACTGAATCTCTTCGGTGCCTCAAATCTGTCTAATTTCACCGAGAATGGTGTCTTCGGCTTATCTGGGGAGGTTACCTTGGCTTAGGCATTCTGTTGCTTCCTCTTGAGGTAATCTCTTAATTCTTCTTTGCTTCGCCCAGGAGCTCGGCTATCTTTCGACTTCAGTCTTTTCGGTATACTACTCTCGGTCTCGTGGTGAGCCCTTTCGACCCTTCTCCATGAGTTGTGTCGAAGCACAGTGCCTACCCCTGAACATGCCGATGTCCTTTGGGGTCTGCCTCTTTTGTGCGATGTGTCCTTCGTGATTCTTCTCTTCTTGATTCTCTTCATCCGACTTCCCTAGAAGGTCGGTGAGAGTGTCTTTCGCTCTCGTTGTCTTGAGGGGCTACGGGGATTGTTTTCTGCCCTCCCTTCTGGGCATTGGCAGCTGGAATCGGTGTGTCCTGCAACGGGAACGATGGCTACATGACGTTATTTTGCATTATAAAATTGACGACCGACTGCAGGTCTGCCAATTTGTTTGCCATCTCTTTTACCTCTTCGTCCCTCCGTAGGCACCTATCCTTCCAAACCTGGAGGTCGTCCTCGTTGTAGTACCTGCTTTGATCAGGTTTCTTTGGTGCGTCGCCAATCTGGCTGACGTCTTTCGCTTCATGATTCTGGTCACGAGTTTCTGCATTGCATTCGTCTCCTGTGATATCAAGGTCAATAGGTCTCCTATTCCCAGCAGGAGTGTCGTCCCCAATCTTTTCCTTCTGTCCGTTACTGGCCATCTATTCTACTTTCTTTCCCACAGACGGCGCCAAATTGTGTGAGTGATTTTCTGATCACACTGCCCAACTCAGTATTCATTTGGAGAACACTGGCAGAATAGATGACACCTGGCTAACCTGTAACAGAAAGAGAAGATTCCGGCGGTGGTTCGTCCACACGGGGGCACTCCGACGATCAAGTCAGTATATCTCTCAAAGATAATCAATAGTGCTTAACTCACTAGACAGAATATAAATTGCGTACCTTAGACCCATGAGGGTGCCTCTCTTTTATAGTTACCTCAATCCTAATCCCAATAGAAGCCTGACTTCTATGGATTCCTGTTCAGTACTTACTTTGGACTCCTCAAGAGATAAAGATAAACTCTCTAAGAGTTTTATCCTTATCTTGGCTAAGTCTCTTCTTTATTCTAGGACTCTTGTCCCTTATCTCTTATCTGCTTATCTCGGATTCCGATATCTTCGGAGATAACCTCGGTCTAATCGAGATGACCTCGGCATATTGACCAGGACACGTGACACCTCGCCTGACACGTCAGCGTCACCTTGCCACGTGTTGGTACTCAAAAATATATCCCCACAGTTCTCAAAGGCTTGAGAACTCAAAATAATACGTGCCCTTTTGACCTTTTAATGTATATGGGCTATCTTCCTCCAGAAAGCCTGTTTAATGCAAAGTTTCAGCTACTAAGGCCAAGTTTAAAAAGTTGTTAAAAAGTCAAAAAATTACTCAAAAAGTTAAAAAGTTATCACTATTCACCAAAAGTCAAAAATTACGGCCGCACAACTCCCAATCCTAATTTTTCCCTACACACTAATTTATATAATTTTTAATACACATTTTTCCATAAAAAGTCAAAAAGTCAACCCAAACAATCATATTTTTTTCATCAACTTTTTAGTCCAAAAAGACAAAAAAATATACTTATTTAGGATACCCCAAACAACTCTTAAGACTAGGATATATAAAAAAAATTGTGAGGCAATTAACAATACCAAGAGACATGGAAACGCAAAGCTTATTTGATAGCCATACCAAAAGGCATGAAGGGAACCAAAAAGCAACGGGCAAAAGTTTCAAATACACAATGTACAGAAAAAGAGATGGGACATCAATCAAAAAAAAGAAGAAGAGATGGGACAGAAATGCAAATGAGCTTGCTATATATAAAAATGAAGCCAGTGGGGAAAATATTCAACAGAATTTACTAAATCTGTCTTTTCTAGTTCAAATCATTTCACTCTGACACATAGCATGTTCAAGGTCTGCCAATAAAAGCAATTTACCTAAATAAGTGGAACTAAAGAAAAAATTACCTAAGTGAGTGGTTAGGCTGCTGTGCCACCACACCCTTTTCCAGTTATTCTGAGCCACTACAACAAAATGCACATTTAGCGACTAAATTTTTAGTCGTCAAATGCTTTGCCTGACTAAATATTTTGGTCGCTAGACTGGTCGCGGAAAGCTTGTTGGGGAAGGTATTGGCGACTAAATATTTTTTAGTCGCCAAAAGTCCTATAAATGGCAACTAATATTTTTAGTCGCCTAAAATAAAATTTTAGTCACTGAAAATCTTATTTTCCGCTACTAAAACTTTGGTCGCCAAAACTTGAAGTATCTATGGCGACCAAAGTTTTAGTTGCCAAAGGGTTTTTTTTCATCTTTTTATTTATTTATTTATTTTATTTTTTTTAGCTACTAAATTCTTTGTCGCCTAAAGTCTGCTTTTATTTTAGCTACTAAATATTTAGTAGCCAAAAGTTTTTCTCTATTTTATTTTTATTTTTAGCTACCAAATATTTAGTAGCCAAAAGTTTTTTTTCCATTTTATAAATAAAATTATCTATATGCTGATAAAATTAGCAATCATTCCACAACACACACACATTTCACTTTCAACCATAAAAAAAAAAAAAAAAATAACATCAAATTAATATTTCTAAAAAAAATTATATACAAATCAAGTATAATCCAATCTCAAAAATATAATTCCATACATAATTCCATGGTCAAACCGTGGGTTTGCTTGTTTGTTTGTTTGTTTTTTTTTTTTTTTTTTCCTTTTTTTTTTTTGTGTGTATGCAATTTTCCCTAAAAAATAAATAAATAAAAAAATGAAAAAGAAAGTAGATAAGACATCAATTGAAAAAAAAGAGGGGAGAAAGTGGTCCATGCTGAAGGGTCAGCTGAAGGGTCAAGCGGTTGTGGATCCACCATAGTCAGAGTCCCATTCGCCTCAGTCACCCCTCGATCTGCTGAGTTATGATCCTGTCCAAATAGTCAATCCCTGATCAGTTTCTAAGTGAAGCTAAAATTAATAGAATCTCAAATTGTCAACTCTATGGTTCATAAAATCTAGCTCACACTACAAAAAAATTGGTTTTTTGCGACGGCAAAACGCCGTCGCAAATACTCCAAACGCCGTCTCAAAAAGTTTTTTGCGACGGTCAGTGACTTTTTGCGACGGCAAGTGGGGGGTCGCAACAAAGGGGGTTGCAAAAGGGTTTTAGCGACGGCATAATGCCGTCGCCTTTGTTTAGCGACGGCAAATGCCTTTTTTGCGACGGAAAAATTCTGTCGCAAATAACATGTAAAAATCTGAGTTTTTTTTGATACGGCACTGTGTTGCCGTCGCTAAAAATGTCTTTTGCGACGGCAAAAAATACCGTCGCTAAAGGTTTATTTGAGACAGCCCTGAGCTATCGCTAAAGGACTATTGGCGACAGCAATAAAACCGTCGCTAAAGGCATTACATTTCAACCAATTCCCTATCTTTTGCGACAGTAAAGGTGCCGTCGCAAAAAATCCTGATTCAATTTTTTTTTTGAGACGGTGTGTGCTGCCATCTCCAAAAAAAAAAAAAATGAAAAAAAATTTTTAAAATTATAAAAATGACATGTATTAAATAAAAAAAAATTTTAAAAAAAAGAAAAAATTTGTGGTTTAGTTCTCAAATGAAACAAGTTCCTAAAAATAAATTTAATTATGAGTTATTTCAACAGGATAATCAGTAATAAAAGATCAACTGATGAGTACATTTAAAGTATAAACCTATATCCAATCAATTTTGATGTGTTCTTCATTTTCAATCTAACATCTGCACCAAAAAAAAAAAATTAAATACAATCAATAAGTGAGAGAGTTACAAATTGATAATAGTAGTGCTTTTAAAAAAAAAGGATAAAATCTCAATTAAATAACATATTATTAACAAAAAGAAAGAAATAAAGAAAAATACAGATTGTAACAAAAAAATAATAATATCCATTTACATAAACTCACTTTTTCACAAATGCAAAAACTCATGCAAGTACACATTTCAAATGTAAAGTAAATATTTAAGATTTTTCGGCACCGAAAAGAGATCAAAAATGATTCAATATTGATTGTTTCCCCCCTCCCCCACACCCCCCAATCTTCTGTTCATGGTTTTATTTGTAGGAACTTACTTTTATATTGAAAAGATTATGCTTAGACAAAAAATATATATAGAATTCTATCCTATTGTTAGCTATATATTTTGTAAAAGCCAGTTACAATCCGACACGTGGCAGAATAAGGGTATTATTAGAAAATAATTTAAGTCTTCAATCCTGATCGTACACGTGGTGATGATAATTGGTTCTCACATAGTCTGAGCAACATTGGATCAGTAAAGAAACGCAAGGTGACGTGGCTTCAACGGTTACTCATATTCAAATTAAATACAGGAGGGAAGCCTAACTGCAAATGGTGGCATAATGGAGCTACTTCTAAGACAACATGATCAGCGATCATGGAGGAGCAGTTTGACGGTTCGAAGAGCAGTTCGAAGGTCATCTTTGACAAGTATAAATAGAAAAGCGACCCCCAGGAAAAAGGACGGAACTCAGATCATACATACCAGTCTTTATTTCATATTTTACTTTCCAGTTTTACATTCCTGTACTTTCAATACCTGCACTTTACATATCTGCACTGCACTTCAATTCATAGGAGTAGTCTCAAGTAGATTCAAGTGGACTGTTGCTGTAAACCTCTTCGAGGCTGAGTTTGGACTATTGTAAGTTTTTCATTTTTATGAAAAGGAAGAGATCCTTAGACTCCTCAAGGCAGGTTTTATTAGAACAGCCAGGTATGTCGAGTGGCTATCTAATATTGTGCCTGTAGTCAAGAAGAATGGCAAAATGAGGGTAAAAAAAAATCAAGAAAATTAGAATGAGAATTTGGAGCCCCTAGAAGGGTTTTTACTAAAAAGTCCATTTTCCTTATGTACTAGATAGATAGATAGATATATTATTTAATAAAAATATGTTAATTAAATTTAATTTTTTTATATTACATAAAATAAAAGTTAAATGGAAGCTAGCCAATCGGGCTTTTTTTTTTAATTGTTTAAAATTAAGAAAATCAAAAAATTAGTATGAGATATTGATCATAAGTCTTCTCACTAAAAATCTCATTTTGCTTATATAAATGGGAGTATAAAATTCCCTTTATGTAAAACAATTCATTTTTTCCATCTTTTTTCGATGTGAGATTGTAAAATAAAACTTAAATGGAAGTTAGCTAATGGAAATTTTCTTAATTGTTTAAATTAAGAAAATTCAATAATTTATATAAATGGGAGCATAAAATTCACTTTATATTCGTGGAACAATTCATTTTTTCTTTCATTTTCCGATGTGGGATTGTCAAACAAAAGTTAAATGGAAGCTAGTCAATGGAAATTTTTTTAATTGTTTAAAATTAAGAAAATTCAATGATTTTAGAATGAGGGTTTGGAGCTCCTAGAAAGCTTCTCTTTAAAAATCTCATTTTCCTTATATAATACTAGTGAAAACCCGTGTTATGCACGGGATGTGAAAAAATTAATAAAATATATTTATATGAAATAATAAAAATAGTCAGATTTTTGTATGTAAATTATGAAAACAAAAAATATATATTAATATTGAAACTTACAATTTAAATTTAGAATTTTATTATAATTTATGTATCAATTTTTAATTTGTCACAACTCCAATAATGTAACTTTCAACCCCCTTGCTAAACTTGTAAATATGGGCGAGTTGAACCCAAACAACTCGAGTCGAGTCAAACCTATAAATTTTTAAAGATTGTGTAGCATAATTTTTAATTTGGTGAGAATCTATGTTAAATTCAAAATTTTGAATAAATTTGAGTGGACTTGGAAAGAGACACCAAATAATCTGAGCAGGAAATAAGACATAAATGACTATACAAGGCAATGAAACCCGGATTCAAAGCGTCAAATGGTTCAGGTCTAAACTAGAATCGTTATAATCTCGGAAGGGGATGTATTCTATTGAATTAAGTTGGCATGTGTGTCCAGAGTGAAAGTCCTTGAAAACCGTGCGTATACATGAGTGTCAAATCCCTCGGACCAAATATCCATAAAATGACAATAGTAGCGCTTGTATGGGCTACGTTTACATGGGTATCAGTTACGATTTCCCGCAGATGAATTATCCGTGAAAGGTTGTACTGTGAGATTGCCAAAGTTATGATTCATGGCCCTATTTTCTAATGTAAAGGAAATGAATGATGAATTGTGATATAAGCCGAACTTTGCATAGTTTTGGAAAGAGAAATGAGACGTTTTGGTCATGAGTATTGCACATGCATTTCACCCTTATATCTTTGTTAAGATTCATAGATTGTATTGGATTATTTATACTGAGTTTTGGCTCACCCTATGTAGGAAAACCATTTTCAGGTGTTAGTGAGACACATCCACCAAGGACTTAGCTTAGGACTACTGTGGAGCTGAAGGCTCAGTTTTGTTATTTTGCATTTAATGTTTGTACAAGCCTAGGGCTTTATATGTATTGAGCTTAAGACTCACTTTTGATGTAACCAAGCATTGTCTTGGAAAGTTGTAGCCTTTAAAGCATTTCCATTATCTGTTTAACTTCTACTTCTTATTTTGTTATTAGTATATGTTATAGATTCAGGGTTAGGA